AGAACTGATTTCTCTACAATGCCAGTTACAAAATTCTGGATCAAGTGTTTGCAGTCATATCCTGTTCTGTCTGAGACTGTGTTGCGCCTTCTTCTTCCATTTCCAACAACATATCTTTGTGAAACAGGGTTTTCCAGCTTGTTGGTTATCAAGTCTAAATACAGAAGTAGACTTGTTGTGGAAGATGATCTTCATTGTGCTCTTGCAAAGACTGCCCCGAGAATTTCTGATCTGATGCGAAAGAAGCAATCTCAACCTTCGCACTGACGTTGGCTTTTTACGCATACTGTCGCAAAATGTAGCAATGTAGTTTACTGTTGTTATATTAAGACTGTTACCCATGCTACACCATGGGTAAGACAAAATTTCATTTATTTGTAATTAGAAATAAATATTTCACAATATATAATTACATATTGTTCTTGTGATTAATCACTATGCTTTAATTATGTCCAATTTGTAACAATGAAAATACACCCTGCATATAAGATATTTACATTACAATTCATAACAGTAGCAAAATTACAGTTATGAAGTAGCAACGAAAATAATTTTATGGTTGGGGGTCACAACATGAGGAACTGTATTAAAGAGTCGCAGCATTAGGAAGGTTGAGAACCACTGGCTTAGAGGAAGACAATCAAGGACATGAATTAAGAAATGCAATGGCAGTGAGAATGGTCTGAATTCTGACTCCCCTCTCAGCACAATACTTGGTGCCCCAAACCCACAAGTCTCCTTTCTCTCTTTGGCAGGATGCAGGAAGCTCATACTTCGTGGTGACTTTTAGGCTTCTCTCTTGGTGGCTGTGTGAGCTATAGCTTGGCCACGTCAGAGAATTGCACATGTATCTCTTGGTCTGATATGTTTAGTCTATAGCTTCTGATGTCAATTCTTTTTTAAAGAACTAATATTGACTTTGTGGCTCCAATATTAAAAGCAACAACAACAGGAATAAATTCAACAACAATAGCTACCATTTCTTGAGCATCTTTTTGTGTGCTGGGCATTAGAGCTAACACCAGCATCATCTTATCTGATTACCACAACAGTTATACAAAGTGGGGAATATTATTACCTCCATTTTACAGGAAAGGAAAGCAAAACTTTCTGAAAATCATACAACAAGCTAGAGCTGAGTTGCAAGAGTAGAGGTTCGAACGTAACACCTAAGGATAATCAGAAGCACAGAAAATACAGGGGTAAATGGATTAAAATCATTCAAAAAAGTTAGGAGACAGGAAGAGCAAGATAGAAAATAAGTCAGAGCAATAGCTAGATCATCCATACCCCTTATCACATTATAAAAATAGAACCTCAGTAGTGAGTGCATAGTTATAACTTTAAGCAATATTTTAAATTTTTTACAAAAAGAAAACACCAAGCCCAGATGGCTTAGCAGCTGACACTACCCAATATTCAATGAACAAATATTCAATGAAAAAGAAAGAATATTCCCTAGCTCTTTTTATGAGGTGAGTATGAATCCACATACTACAGTAGATAATGATCTCCCTCTGCCGTGCACTTCCCCTGTATACTTCTTCCTATACCTCTGGAGCTGGAAGCCTGCAAACTATATTTCATAGTCTACTTGTCCTATGGCTTCCCATTAATTCTACTAATGTGAGGCATTGAAAAGAGATTAAAAAATGAAAAGAATAGAAAAGTGACTTGTTTTCCATTTCTGCCAGCTCAGCCAGTAGTGGCTGCTTCAGGTGGGCAGTGGCAGCCACCTATAAAAATGAGTTAACTGCTTGGTCACCTCCTTTAAACTGCAACCGCTCCAGAACCATTGCAATCATAGGTATTGGATAATGCCATTTTTACATGTGCTTCTTTAGCCTTCCTTTACCCTCATTGGGTAATTAATTTTTCTTTTGTGCTTTTCCAATTCTTCCAATAACTTCGTAGTGAATTAAATTCCCTAAATTAAGTTTCCTCTTCTAGCAAAATCTTGAATGGTCCTATTTTTTTGTGCTGGGATAGTGATTTATTCAGTTCTTATGTAATCCAAAGATAGTTTGAGGAAGAATTAAGTATCTTTGCATGAGTGCAACAGTCCTAAACAAAATATTATCAGATCAAACTAGCAATGTATTAAGTATGTGATATGTGATTGCCAAGTTGTGTTTAGTATGAGATTTCAAGGTTGTTTAAATATTGGTAAATCACAGTGGCTTTGTAATACAGCTTGATATCTGGTATTGAGATCCCACCTACTTTGTTCTTCTTTCTCAGGATTGCTGCAGCTATTCCGGTCTTTTTTAATTTCAGATGAATTTTTGGAAAGTTTGTTCTAGGTCTGTGAAATATGCCGTTGGTATTTTAATGGGGAGTGCATTGAATCTATAGATTGCTTTGGGTAGTATGGACATCTTGATGATGTTGATTCTACCAATCCATGAACA